CGTGAAATAGAGGACGAACATCACTTCGTGTTCACTTGCCCAGTGTATACTGACCTCAGGATAGACTTCCCATATATCTTTCAGGATAGAGGAGAGATAAACTTGAGATCGTTCCTTAGTCTACAAGATACTTACGTGATAGGAAAGTATTTGCACTTAAGCTTTGCATTAAGAGCGAGTTTAGTGCAGAGTTAGTAAATAGAGACATTCGTCGACTTAGCCGACCACGGCTCCGAACCGACGTTAAATCAACTAAAACTAAAACTATATGGCCGGGCATACATGGTGCCATCATAACATCTATGCACCGCCATGATGCCATGCACGTTTGTGCAAATGATACACGCGTATGGATGGCCGGCCTGGGAGATGCCTATAAGCGCAGCATTTGAGTCCCTGTTGAGCTAGGCATATGCCAACCGCGAGCTAGTGTAGCCAGAAGATTCACCAAGTAGCCTTTGACTCTGAGGGACTCGAATCTAGCACCAAACGATGTACCACGCCTTACTTGTCTTTCACCAGCTTGACTCATATGACTGCAGGACAACCATTTGTGTCTACTGTGCGGTGTGGACTCTTCAAATGGAGAGACACGGCACTTCATGTCAAACCTGTTGAGTTGATATGGATACTTCTGGAAAAATCTTGCGCAAATGAACAGGGTTCAGGCTTGCTCGAACTTGAGCCGCCCAGACTAACACGCGCAAGCGCTGCGCTCTCTAACAGACACCAGAGTAATCAACGCCCAACTAAACTAAAACGTGACTCTGTATGAATCACTTCACTCCGTACTAAACAACTACCAAAAGTTTAAGAGGACTGCTCGCTCAACTCATATACCTAGATCTTCCGGCGTGCCTGACAGCTAGCCTCCGACCCCTACGAACTCAGCAACGCGCGTGCCTTTGCTAGCTTTGCTGCTTAGGCGTCTTCCGCCAAACCTTTGACTAAGAAACACCTAGCTAGCCCTTCCTCTCTACTAACTCCAAAATTGATGACTCGCCTATCTAGTTCACTACTTTTCCTCTTGCCTGCCTAGAGCAATAAGTTAGGAACATAAGCAGAGGCCGAGTCTGACGAGCTGGACATTCTGGCGCCAGTCTCCGGTGGTGCAGGACCATGACCCGCTGGTCACAGTCGTGGAGGGCATATTGAGAACGTCGACTTGCTCGCTTGACCCGAAGCGGGCCCATGCATATTCGCTCTGCCTCAACAGCGGCCGAACGGCGAGCAAGCCTCGCCGATTTGCGGCGCAATCAATGCGGTGTTTCTCGTCGAGTCGCCTGCCGAGTACTTCACAACCGGCGGGAACTCCAGAACATTTCGTTCAGTGTTAACCGCCCGTTTTGAGATCACCGAAAGCGCTCCTGGCCGATGAGCTCTGCCTCGAGTGCCCGTTCAACAGCCGCTCATGCAAGGGTGTGTTCCTGTTGACTGCCTCAGTGGAGTTTACCGGGCACTGCTTTCAAGCCGTGTCAACCCCGTTCGACCAGCCGGTTTGCGATGACCCGGCGGGCCTTCCAAACCGTCATCAAACAAACTCTTCGTCGTCTGCCCGGTCCACCTCACCGGGGATTCACCTCTGAGACCGTCAGCTCTCCGAGGTTTCCCGAAAAACTTTCCATATCCCGGCGCCCCGACCCGTCACTCGGCGGCCGACTCGAGAGCATTCCGCTCTGCGTTGACGACCCACTTCTCCACTCATACCGTCTCACAAACGGAACCGCCGACCCGTTTGAAACTCCATTACCCCCCTCAAACGCACCGGCAGAACGCCCCCCCGGGGACGAAGTCACGCCGTGCCCCCCATCAAACGCGCCCGCAAAACTCCCCCCCGAAAATGATTCGCTCGAGCTCGCGCCCGGCGAGAATTTCCCGAGCCCCAGCGCGTGGAACGCGCCGCCGAGCGCCGGCGCTGCGTCGGCTAGGCGCGCGGCGCTCTCTAAGACCTCCAAAATCCTGACGGTTTCGGTCATGGACGGCCGGCGGAGGGGCGACCGGTCGACGCACGCGGCCGCGAGCGCGCAGAGCTGCGCGAAGTCGTCACGGGAGAAGCGCCCGTGCAGCCGGGGGTCCATCACCGGGCCGTAGTTCTGAGCTTGGAGGAACGGCCGGGCCTGCAAAGATGGAAGCGGGTGAAACTTAAGTCTTCAGTAGAGGGACAGGGGTATGTGCCGAAAAGCGGAAGCACTCATAATTGGTGAAAGACCCGACTTCCGTCAGCATGACACCGGGCAGCTGACAATCTGAACGGGAAAATCGTGCTTTTTTGTGAGTGTTGATCGACTTCAATGAAAAGCAGTTGCAGAAGAGACGCAAAAAGCAACAACTCGACCAGAGTACGAATTTGAACCCAGCGCATCAAAAGGGCTTTCAAAAGTGCCAACTCGGGGTTCCGCAAATGGGTAGCTTTGCTGTGTTTATCACCGAGTAGACCACCGAATTGACCGAAGAGCGGCCTATTGTGAAAGAACAGAAGTATCAGCACGGAGACTTTTCTTTCTATGTGGTTTCTAGTCCAATTCTTCCGCTCCTTATGGCCTGACCTAGGTCAGCCCTGCGGTTCAAGTCCAAATGCCACTCGCCATTTGATTGGTTGAATGAGTGGTTGAAGAAACTTCGACGCAAGGCTATATCAATCAAGGCAATGCAAATCTGCTCCAGGGACAATTCCTGTAAGGCGCCACAAATGCTGAGAAACGGCAGAAGACACTCACCCAATCGACAAGCGATCGGCATTCGGACCCGGACCGCATGTCAATCGCCGGACGTCCGGAGGCCAGCTGGAGCAGGACCACGCCGAAGCTGTACACGTCACTCTTGGTCGTGATCGGGTTCCCCGTGACGTAATCGGGGTCCAAGTAACCTGCGGGCGAATGCGCTTCGTTTCTCGTTCTTGGCAGCTGACAGCAAATTTATCAGCGTGCACGTATCAAGATGTGGCGCAACAACACACGGCCAATCGGTTGCAAAGCAACGTTTCACGTTAAGCAGGACAACAAAGGAACTTGGGTTTGCTGCGCGTGACAGCTAGTTAGCAGCTTGGTAAACGGGTGATCCATCCATTTGTTCTGCTGCAGGCAGAAGTTGCTGACAACTACGGGTCAAGAAAGAGACAGGAGCCATCAGCAGAAAGGAAGAAACTGGAGGAGAACGAGGAGGGAACCGAGTTGGACGAGATTGGCGACCAACCTAAGGTTCCTTTCACGGCTGACGGCATCGTCTCGTAAGAGACGCTCGTTCCCTGGGTTGAGGGCAGCCGGGATAACCCGAAGTCTGCGACCTGACAATAGAAAATGGAGCGTTTCAAAAAGGAGCTTTAAAACCGGGGCTTTTACAGCCGTTGTCAGCATCGAGAAGCAATCACATCAAGAATGGGAGTGATCCCAGAGCTCTTGCATTCATCAGGACGCGGCAGAAGTTCGTCCCCTCCTCACCGAAATTCCTTGCTGCGCTTTGGAGGTTGGATTTTCCCGTTTGCTGCGTGTGAAAGAGTCGCCCTCCGAAAATAAGACTCACTGTCTACGAGGTCACTTGCATCTATCCGCATTAGACTGGTCCACAAGGCCAGAGCAGAATAAGAACAGCGGTCAGGCGGAACGTATTTCTAGACTGGTACGCAACATTCTCAGTATCCTCTCTCACTTCACCAACCCTTCCAAACCTCCAACGCTTGACGACATTGAGCGGTGCAAAGCGCGGATGCTCGATTTAAGCCCCGAACCCAAGCTGTGAAGTCATCCCCACACCCAAGCTGTGACGGCATCCGCCCACCTTGCAGTCGAAGTCTTTTGTCAGCAGGAGGTTGTCCGTTTTGACGTCCCGGTGGACGATCGCCGGGTGCGCACCCACGTGGAGGTACTCCAGGCCCCGTGCAGCGCCGAGGGCGATCTTCATGCGCTGCTGCCAGGTCAACGGGTCGCCCCTCCCTGCAGCCAGTGGACGGTGCCGCCATTCAGAGAACACGCCGGGGGTGGTAGAATAATTAAAGAAGCAACGCAATCCTTAACCTATCTTCAAAACGCTTAAGTTTGGATAAGTGCGCGAAGATGATGGTGGAGGGCAACGAAAGGCCTCGATTCGAAGCGGATGATGCAGACTGACTCCTCACTACAGGGGGAACACGTTGCACGGTCGCCGTGAATTTGGGCTTCTCCGCTTGCTTGGGCTTTAGAACAATCATTCAACGGTACATCACTTTTCAGCTTTGGAACGGATACAGGTGACATGCTTGGCCGCCCGGAAGGCGCACAAGCCTGTACAATAAGCGCCCACAAACAAAGAGCAGCAGTAAAAAGACGATGGACGTGTCAAGCACAGAACGGAGAAGAAAGAGGCACTCACCGTAGAGATGGTTGGAGAGGGATCCCTCCGGCATCAGCTCGTAGACGAGCATCTGTTCGCCGCCCTCCTGACAGTAGCCCAATAGCGCGACCAAGTGCCGGTGATGCACGCGGCTCAGGAAGTCCACCTGCGAGGGGTTCAGGTGTTCACAGGGTGAAAAATTCGGGTTCTAAGATACTCAACCACAGCTCAAGAACGACCTAACCATTGCAAGGTGTAGGAAATTCTACGTTATCGAAATTCGAGAGTTTCTGTATGCCTTGCATTTTGGGTTTTGGGCCAGGCTCCCAACCACCGGTCAGGGCTCGAGTGAACCAGCTCTGCAGTGGGAATCCAGTCTCTACGGCCATCTGTTGGAAAAGGTACGAAGTCTCTGGTGTGCAAACTTGAATAGAACGTACTCGCAGATGTCCCGAAAGCTTGAAAGCACCACTCTTGCAGCAGGCCCCCAGGTATTTTGCGAAGCCATCCAAGCTGCAGTATAGAGTACCCACTGTAGCACTGTGAAAGAACCAAACCTGAGAATCCTGACGGAACCCCATACGGATCAGACCCGGCAACCTTATCATAAGCAGCTGATGTTGATCCGGAGACGCTTCATGAAGTCAACAAGCAACAGCTGACCTCATTCCTGAACTGCTCCTGCGTCTCCCGCCTGCCCGCGGTCGCCTTCTTGACGGCCACCCCCCGCCCATCCGCTAACCGCCCGTAGTAAACCATCCCGAAACCCCCCTCTCCTAACAAATGCGCCTCCGAAAACTTCGAAGTCGCTTTCTGGATATCTTGGTACGAGAACGGGTACACCTTCGAGAAACCCGCGGCCGCGCTGGGTGGGGCTGCTGGGGTTTGGACGGGGTTTCGGTTCGGGTTAGCGGTGACCGACGGGGTTGAGTGGCTCGCGCTTGGGGCGGCGGCGAAGGGCACGAAGCGAGGCTCGCGACCTGGAAAGGAGGGAGATTTCAGGTTTTGACCTGGTGCCGTTGGGTTCTATTGCGACCCAACTGTACCGCACTGCTTTGGACATGTGCAATCTCGGATAAGTGTAGCTGGCAAAGATTCAAGGCATTCCAGTGGAAGAGCATCCTTGGAGGTGCTCGCAGCGTCCAGATATCAAAAGTGCTAGCGAGCAGGCTCGAAAGGTGGCGGCTGAACATCCACCGAACCTGGTTCCAAACGGGTCGGTACATAAGCAACTTGGAAGGTGGTATGTTTTAGCTTTCCCATGTAAGCACAGGCTCAAGTCTCATCAGACCTATGGGTTACAAAGAGGAATCGCCCACAAGACTAGGGCAGCTGGTTTCACACTTTCATGAAGGGAAACGCTTCCAAAAATAAAGCAACACCAAGGGCCGGCACCTCACCTCCTTTGAAGAGCGAACCCTTTCCTCGGCGCCCCCAAGCGACAGCTATTCTCTGACGGTAGCAGCAACAGAGAACCGTGCACAGCGCAATAAGCGCCACTACAATCACCACAATCACGACGGCCGCAATGATGACCCCTGTGTTGGACCCCCCCTTGTCTCTTGCTGCTGGAGGATCAGTCTGCTTTGGCAAAGTGGTCGTTATGTTGCCCAAAGTTCCGTTTGCACCGGGGGGGAGAATGATGGCTGTGCTTGTACTGGCGTTCGATCCAGGGGCGATTGAAGAATTCAGGACGGGAAAGATTGATAGGTTCAAGGAGGGGGTTATGGTTAGGTTAGAAAGGGGGTTTATCGTAACATTGACGCTTGGGGACAAAGTGAAGTTTTGCAACACCACCAAGGGACTCGGAATGGGGGTGGTGCTCGTGGGAATCGAGGTTAAGGTGGGGTTTGCGGGGTTGCCAGCTGTCCGCACAGGAGTGGCCGTCGGCGCAACAGTGACTGGCGTGGCGGTTGGGGCCACAACAATCTGCGTTGGAAGGGAAACCGGCGTTGCAGTGGGGAGAACTGGAGTTGGCGCCGGTGTTACAGGTATTGGCGCCTGGGTGACAGGTGTCGGCGCGAGAGTGGCGACAGGTGTCGGCGCAAAAGTGGTGACAGCTGTCGGAGCAGGAGGGACAGGTGTCGGGGCCGGGGTTAACACTGGAGTCGGCACCGGAGTGCTTGCAACTGGGCTGGGGACAACTAGGGCGGGTGTGTTTGGTGTTTTTGGGGCAGGCGTAACTTTTGGTGCAGGAGTGGGTTTCGCGTCTTTCCCGCACGCCACGTTCGAAGCAGCGTCGCAAATTGCGATGCCCACGTTGTAAAGCGTCCCGGGAGGGCAGCTCTGCACATCGCATCTGTCTGACGTGCACACACAGAAGGTCTTGCAATCCTGAAAGATGGGAACAAAGTGTGTGATTGACAGGACAAAAATGACTTCCTGAGCTTGTTTGGGACAGTACTTTTGCATGAGCCCTGTCGTTTTGAATTGACAGCTTTCTCTTTGATGAGTAAGAAACATGGACATTGCATTTGACCGGTATATCCTCCAGGTGCGTTATTCTGCAATCCTAATGGGAAAGCCCGCATTGTAAGAGGCCATACTTACTCTACAGTGCCTTTCAAGTATGAGCTGACTTTCCTGTTGGTACGAACCAGCCAGAGCAAAACTTCACCAATCAGGGAATACCATGTCAACACAATTCTTCCAGGAGGATACAGTTGAAGGGAGTTTCGAAAGCTGAAATTTCAAGAAAGTCAGGAAGTATAATACGAGGTTCATAAGAGGGCCTTTCTGCATCGACAAAGAATATGTCACAACGTAGATTACGAAGGTAGTTTGTATGGAAATACCAGATAGGAAAAGGTTGAAAAGAGAGACGCAGACAGAATACTATGTGCCCAGATCTGAACGGAACAGATAAGTAATGCTTTGCGCCCGATAAACAGTGTGGAGCAAGAGGCACTCACTCTCGCGCACATTCTTAAGCAGACTGGGCTGAAAAGTTCCCTTACAAGCGGCATTTTCACAACCAGAACTACTACCATCTCACAATGCCCTCTTCCAGTGCAGAATCACGGAACCCTGAGATCCTATTAGAGTTAGAGCAAGTATCCACCAACGATTCTAAGAAGCATTATCCAAAAAAAGGAAAGGAAGAGCCCTCACCTCCTTGCATGTATCTGCTGACAGCCCAAGCTGGCCCATACAGCACTTGTTGTTACTATTGTTATTGTTGTTGTTATTATTGTTGTTATTATTGCTGTTGCCATTCTCGTCGTCCCGTCTGCTTGCAAAGTGCGCGGCCCTGTCAATACTTCTACCTGCTACACTTGTGCATCCCACCAAAACTATGCAGGCCAACACAAAGCCTAGAGAGGACGCTCGTTGGCGCCCAGCGGACTGTTTCCTCGTCAAATGTAGGGTTCGAGAACCGGACGCCATAGCCTAGCGCTAAAAGGGTGGTTGAAAAGTGAATAAGCCGCACGGCAATGCCATGACATTTGAAAAACTCTAAGTTACTTGGTCAGCAAATCTCATGGAAACTTAAAACCCTACAGGCCATTGCAGAAGGCTAAATTTGAGCTAGCTGTAGGGTTCACTTTGCTGTAGAAGTAAAGGACGTGTGTTAACTCAAACCTGAGCAGCGCCACAACATTTTAGACTGCCAAAAGCTAGCGAGAGGAAGAGGAAGAATGATGATCTCTATCCTTGGGGCGAATGGTGCTAAACAATGGAAGGCGCTAGAGCTGCTCGACTACTAGCCTCTAGCCTCTAGCCTCTAGCCTGAGTCTAGGAGTAGACTATTATCGAATAGGTGCAGGTGCGATAATAGTGGTGAATAGTTCGATAAGACTTTCGAATAAATCTAATAATCCTGCGTAGCCTGTAAGTCACTAGTATAAATAGTGCATTGGCGAGCTGGAAACTTTCATTTCCAACTCGCCTCTTAGAATTCTTGCAGAAGTTCGCTTGTATGGGCGCCTCTCCTCGGCCGCCTTCCCCAACGTGCCCAGCCAGTCCCGGGCCTACTCCATTGAGGTTGTGGCAGGAGCCGGAGCAGGATCTCTGCTCCCCGTGGGACTCCGGTCCAAGCTGGTACCCGCTTGACGACAACGACACATTCTCTGACCTTGAGGTTAGTGACGCTGAAGACGAAGGGGTGGTAGCACCCAAACGTTGCCGCACACCATCCCCACCAACGTCTCCTCGGGTCTCTGTGAAGCGGCGCCTCAACTTTCCCCAGGGTAAGGATATGGCTGATTTAGGTGGTAACCATGATGGTACTACCACAGCTGATGATGCAGGCAATGTAATTGTGCATGACATAATGCGAGGGAATCTTTTGTCAGGGAGGCGTGAAAGGGACGCCACCCCGAGTCCCCGCAATGGCGGGGCATTTGTTACACCACTTAATCATGCTTCAGCTCGCCATGGTAATGGTCTAGATTTTGAGAGGGGCAATGGCCCCATTGAGCATGCCGTGCGGTACTAGGTCCTTGCCGTACCGCCGATGCAAGCATGTATCGATTGATTGTCTAATACAAACCCACACAAATCATCACAAAGCTATATATGGCCCTTCGATGGCCACTGTACATACGCCGGAGGAAGGATTTTGCCTCCAATTCCGGCGGGAGCTGTCTGCCGGGGGAACATGTAGCCGAAGCGGTAATGACTGCTAGTGATTGGTAATAGTTGACAATAGACTATTGTTATTGCTAGTATTGTGGACGGCTTTTAGCCCGACCTAGTTGTTGGTATGGTTAAACCAGAGGTCGGATGTGGTCATTAGAAGTCCCTAGAAGTATTGTGATGTCATAGGTGTCGCTACCAAGGGGTCGTTACCAGGCTGTCGTACCTAGAAGACCCTAGAAGACTTGTGGTCGTCACTTGACGGACTTAGGAGAAGTGCCCCGAATTTGGGACTTCCTGAACTTTGTGGTTGCTTAAGCAACCTTTTGTAAGTTAGCCTTTAAGAAGAGAAGCGCTTTGAGGCGCCTTCCATCCAAGCAAGTGTTGTGTTGCGCTCCGGCGTCTCTCTCCATGGCTGCCGAAGCAAAGGTTCCTTGAGCGGTTGTCATGAAGTGCCTCTCTCGTACAA